CTCATTTTACCTGCAGAACTTCGTATTCCCCTCTCCCTTTCCAACGCATATGCATATACTTCTATAATGGGGTTTTCCATGAACTTTTCTATGGTTTAAGCAAAATTGAAGGTGATTGAATATTTCAGAAACAATTTAGATATTCCTACCAAACTCAGTAGTTCCCTGGAAACCAAACACAGGTCTTGTGCAAGGTCTGGGTAGTTTTTTGCTCAGGTAGTGTCACTCTAGGGAACTGAGAAGGTAATGAAACCACTTAGAAAGACCTCTTCATTCAAGGATGACATGAGCAACTATAGATAAGCTCATAGCAAATGTTGGGGTTCCAATCTATTAAGCAGCTGCTTGACAGATTCTTCACTCCACGACAGTGTTACACCCATTGGAATCTTCCTGCAATGCTCCACCAGTTGCACTGCATGAAGCCTTCATCCCTTTTCCCATCATCTCAAGTGATAATCACCCACGTAAGACGTTTACTCACAAAAAAACACATGCAAAATTTCTGAATGCCCTAGGGCCCAACAGCAAGTAGAAAAACATAAAATAAGATGGGGCGCTGTCACTGCCTCCTCATTTTAACTATTTTGGCACATGCCAGAACATTTCCTGAGGCAAAACATCACCAGGTAATGAACAGGGATTTGCATGCAACTCCAACAGTGAGCATGACCGCAGGCACTGATCAGTGCAAGTTCTTCCTTCTCAGGGTGTTCACAAATCCCATCTTTACGCACCACCTGCCCCATAAATGGCCGCAACATCTACTGCTATTTGTATTTTTAACTGGATTGCCAATTGTTGTAACATAATAGCTGATGTTTCTGCAGAAAAACACGTTTATTACATTGATGTAGAACTGACTTAGAGCACAAGGATGCTTTGAGGATTCTTTGCTTGATCAGCAGATTCAAATCCCTTGTTGCCAGATTGGCATAAATTGCTAGCAGGTTCCTTCCCAAGAGACAAACTTTGACTCTCTCTCCCAACAGCATTAACTAGTCACATACCAACTAGATGCACATCCTTTCCAACAACGGCTTCATGAACACCCAAAGAGAGTATCTTTGGATCTTACAACCCTCCGATTCCAGGAGTTAGGCTTTTTAAAGCATCAGAGAAGATACCCTCAGCTTCCCCTAACATGCAAAAACCCTTCCAAAACATGCACTGAAGAAAAAAGGGCAAAGCTAAAATAAAGATGGAACTGCAAAGTATAAGGGAAAGCTATTTTTCAAAGTCTTTATTCCTATTTTTATGTGCAACGATACTCTTGCATTCTTTCATGCTCTTCAGGTCTACCTCTGCTGACTTTAAGATCAAACTGGCATTTTTGCCAGCAATTCATGCCAGCCTGCTCTCTGCCACCCCTTTCCCTCCCCACCTGCAGGCAAGCAGGGAGCTGGGCCTCACAAGACTACTGTGGCGTGGGTGTTTTTGGCTGTCTGTTTTGGCAGCTGCTCCTCCTTTCTTCCAGCTCTGTTTTGAAACACAATCTCAATTTAAAAAAAAAATAAAATAAAATAAAATAAAAAATAGAAAATTAGACATTCCTGCACTCTCTGCTCACATCAGCACTCCTGCTGCTGCAGGAACAGCAGGGAAGGAGCAGCACGGTGCAGGTTGGCTAACATAGCCCAACTGCTGGGCAAAGAAATAACCCTTGAGAAAAGGTACATACCTCAGGAAGGCAGGAGGGGCAGAGGAAGGCAAGAGGCAAAAAGGAGAAAAAAGAGGGCCAAGAGGATTTTGTGAGCCATCTCACTTTAACAGGGGAAGCAGAGGGAAGGAAGGGAAAAATGTCTCTCCAGAGCCAGCTCCCTCCCACATTTAATAGCATTAGGATCTAACGTGCAATTTGGAGTAAAAGACTTTCTTTCCTGCCGTTTGATGGATGTTAACGTCCATTTTTTCCTTCTTCTTCTTTAACAATGTATTACATAACATTCTGATACACTAATTACCATCTCATATCATTGTAATTTTATTAAGAGCTTACACTTACAAATACCCATTCTGAAAGGACTTCAGGAGTTTTTTGTAAATTTCTCTGAACTAGGCTTGTTGAATCACTGGCAACACGGTCTGATGCTGCCTAATGCAGCTTCCAGCAACAAAGCATCTCTACACAAAGATCTCTCACAGGCCCCAAGAGTCAGGCATGGATTCTTCTTGCGTTTAATCCCAAACACTTGTAAACAAGTTACTTTTAGCACACTATGTTGTGATAAAACGCTGGTAACACAGCCCCATTAGGTTCTTTTACCTGCTACAGTTCCAATTCCAGGCGCAATGTCGAGGGAGAAAAATTCCTTTATACCAAGTCATGGAAAATTTGTTAACTATTCTGCAGTTAGTGTTTGCTCATTTATATAGTAGCATCTTGCCAGGCAAGACTTGGTACCATGAGGTATTTTTCCATATAAAATTGCTAATGCCATCGGGATTGTCCAAATGGGATCACCATCATTAAAAAGATTACATGGTAAAGGAAAGTGATTATGACAGCATCTGAGTAGAAGTATTACTAATCACAAGTAGAATCCTGGTACAAATCTCATTCTCTGTACACAAGAAAGGACACAAAACCTCTTAAGCATAATTTATATACATTTATGGCTTTATACAACAAACTGTCAGGGATTGTTCTGGTGTGTCTGTAGAAGTACATCAGGCACTTTTTCTGAAGATATCCACGTATGAATTTTAATTCTGCAATGTGACTAAGTCAGAGCAGTGAAGTGCTGAAGAGCTGTCACACCACTCACAAGCAGTATGTACATGCCAATCTCTCATGATATTGCTGGTTTGTGGAACATTCTCAAAAAGGAGGCCAGTTTTAATGCCGAGTAATTCGCTTTTTGCTTGCATAAACCATGCTGCATTTTACATCATGATTACCAAAATAATAATAATAATAATAATGATGATGAGAATACCTTATTTAAAATCAGTCATAAATTAAGCTTCCTAGCAATTTCATAATGAAAATAGGACTTTCAAATCAGTAAAAAAATAATAAAAAAAAAAGTACTAACATACATCCAGTGGTTTAACATGTGCAAATTTTATACTGTTTTATAATTGGTCCAATTTTAACTTCTCTTCTTAGGGATGCTCTGTTGACTTAAGCCGAGAATAAGCAATATGACTTTTGCTTATAAGTGTAGGCAAATTGTCAGTTTATCAAAGCAGAGCTTTCCAATTAATGCATCTACTGCCTAAACATATATCATATAGTTATATTATGGAAACCATACATCTTTATATTTAAAATATCTGAACAGCTCTATAATACAATAAACTTTTAATAACAGTACAAACCAGAGAAAAGTCATAAACAAGGCTGCATAGGTAAGATCATCTGCACAATTCACAAACCAATCATTTACAACAATTCTGACAAACTAAGTTACTCCAGAAACTTGGTACTTTTACTGAAAAAGGATTTATTATTAGAGGTCACATAATGTTTGTTTTCAAGGCAGAAAATATACCCCTTCACCAGACTTCACAGTATTCCAGAATTACAATTGCAAAACATTAGATTGGCACCACAAAAAAAAAAAAATCAAACAAACAAAAAAAACCTAAAACAAAAAAACTTGACCACACAGCCCAAACCTTTGATTATCTGTTAATACTTTCTCCTAATGATGAAAAGGAGCTTCCTACAGACTGTTGTAATTAAGGAACGGCTACATTATGTTATTCATAGTTATAAAAGAAAATGAAGAAAATACCTGTATACAGCAAGTTACACAATAGCAGTAGATAATAAATAGGAGGTATATTGTTTAATGTAGCATGTTCAGCTGTAACCTCATGGAGTATAGCATTAAGCACTGTTGTCTTTGCACGCAGATGTGAATTTTACTACTACTTTGGCCTATGCATATCAGTACCCATTTAGGAGCAAATATTTTTGCACACACAGCAGAAAGAAGGATCTCCAGAAACCCGTATGTGAGCCCTCTGCTTGCTCCACTGCCAGGATTTCCCATCTCATTTCAGAGACCATGAATGTGATGGTGAAGATGCTACTAGAGATATTTGCCTGTAAAAGCAGGTTGCTTCATCGAGGCTTCAGCACTAGGAACATTTCATTTTGCTCAGCAGAAGTTCAAAGACAGATTTCACACTGGATCCTGTATCACAGGACAGTTTAACATCAGCCTCTGGAACTGCTGACAAGAGTAATAGGATATCAAAAAAAGTAGGACCAGCTGTAATTAGTAGTGATTTTAAGCCCCATAGGGAGCTAAATACTTACACATCAATAAATACATTGAAGAGCACTAGGAAAGATATATCGGTTCATTAAATATATGGCTTGTTACTAAACTTCATTTTCTTGGCATATCCCATTTCTTTCTCCACCGTAGCCCTCACTACAGAGATAATAAGTTTCTATTAGAGCACTTTGCAGTTGTGGGCTACATAGACAAAGGAAAAATCGGTGAAAATGGTTTTATTTCTCCCCTTCTTCACAACAGCCAGCCTTAGAAAAAAAAAACCTGTTCATCCTGTTGGTGCATAAAGAAGCTCCAAGGACTTCTAGAAAACCAACCATGTGTAGCAACCAGTGAAAAGACAGGTGAGGCCCATTACCCATACATCCATGAAAACTCCATCGTGTGGTTTCAAAAAATCAGAAGTTTCTTAGCCAAGACCCAATCCTGAAAAAGCTTAAGTAGTTGTGAGCGTGTCTCTCAAACGAGAGCAGGTTTTTCCACCAGAGCAAGGCCTCTGTCATTAAAGCTATCCCCTGCCCTAGATCTCATGTATTTATACAGCTTTGCCACTTACTTCATCTTTCTTATTTTTTACAAAAGTAATGTTTTGCCCTGTAATAGGGTAAAATAGGTCAGAAAACTTTTTGCCCCTCACTGAAAAGTAGCACATTTGCCTCTGCAAGCATAATGCTTTATAACAGAAACACTGACAGCCCCTAAAACTAGTGCTAATTAAGAAAAATGAGAATTTTGTCATTAATTTCTCTAAAATGATGGATTTTCTCCAAATGGTCCTGCTCTTGAGTGCACAAACATTATGAGACCTCTGTGAAATAAATATAAATGTGAAGCATTGTACAAGCATCTAACAATGAATACTTAACACTTTGTGGTAGTCAGAGTTAAAATGATAGTAGAAGCAGATGACATTTCTAAAAATGTTTCTATAAAACTGATTAAATATTTCCTAAACATGAAGTTGTCTATATTTATACATCACACAACAAAAAAAGGGACAGAAATTTTTTGTATTCAAGATACTTATTAAGCTTTTCCTTTATTAGCACTCCCAAGTGCTAGGGAAATTTATAAAAACATGTACTTAATCCAGTTAAAATACTGTACAAAATGAAGAGGTTATGAATGCTGTCAGGTCTCAGATTTTTTTTCTTTTTAAGTTGCCTATGTAACAAAAGTAGACTTTAATTATACGAAAAATAGCTTGGAAAGTATTCCAAAAAATTATCTTAAGTCCAACAATAAAGTCATTAGTTGGAAATGACATCCAGATATATTCTTGCATAAATTTACATTAATACAGGTAACTTATCAAATGGCATTTAACCTACTGTTTGCTCTGAATAGTCATTGAGTTTAGTAAGACCATATTTATCAGGCTATTCTGTTCCCATATGAAATGTGTGGCAATTTTGAGTAAAATAATGCAGTTCGTACTGCTGCAAGGCAAGTCCACAGTTCTCTCAATTCATAAAACACAGGTAACATCAACAAAGGTTAAACTTACTTAGGGCATGAGATCATCACAGTATTCTTACAAAAGTTTATAAACTTTTCTTGGACCAAAACAGATAGTCTTAAAAAACAATTCTTCTTCTACAGACCATACTGTACAAAACCGAAAGCACACGATGATGTGAGTAAGAGTCTTTGCTGTGATTATATGGTGTAGTGAATTTGGCACTTCAGAGTAATGGAACTTCCAATGGCACAGTTCTTATCTACAGCAGCACATAACCTGCAAACCTTGGGCAAACATCCTGTACAGGAAAATACTCTGTCTGCTGCCAACTCTGACGAAAGGAAGAAAAAAGAAGGAGAAAAAAAAAAAAGACCGCAAAGAAAGCTAGTGCATGTGCACAGCTTTGTCAAGAAAATTAAAAAGGAAGGTGAAGGACATCTTTTTACTGCTTTTCTCAGTTCCTGCTGTCAGACAAGTCTGGAGAATTTAACCGTAACCTGAGAGAAAAAAAAAAAAACAAAAAACAAAAAAAAAAAAAGAAAAAAAAAAAAACAAAAAACAAAAAAAAAAAAAGAAAAAAAAAAAAACAAAAAACAAAAAAAAAAAAAGAAAAAAAAAAAAACAACACAAAGGAAAAAAAAGCCACAAACACAAAACAACAGAAAGAAGAAATTAACAGTCACACCAAAAGATTGAAACCATTAAAGTATGCTCAAACTAGCTTTAAGATAACTTAAAATGGGGAAAAATAAGTTCAATAATTGCTAGTTACCAGCAAGTTTTTTGTTTGAAATAGTAATGGCAAAATATTGGTACTCCACAAGAAGTAACAGAAGTTGGCACATGGCGATCCTAATGCAATGGTATAAATTTGATTTACAAATGAATAAAGGACTGGAAAGTCACTGAGTGTAAGTGAGGCACTTCACATGCCAAGACAGAAGACCACCCAGATTTTAAGCATTCTTAGATCTCTTTTTTCCTTTTTCAGATTTATTATAAAAAGCACAGCTTACCTCCTACTACATCCTAGCCTGACACCCAACTGTGTGTGGTTGTCTTTACGCTGTGCTGAAAACTTTGGTTAGGCAATACACTGTCAAAGTTAAAATCTAACGTTTCTCCATCCATAAGGTCATTACGGATAATCGACTCCATGTCACAGTCCAACCGTTCGATTAGCATGTCATCTAAGTCACTGGGAAGCTTCTCCTGGTGGAGGGAAACAATTCCCACCCTTCCGTAGCCATTGCAACTGTTAACAGGGGCGTAGGGGTTCATAGCATTCATCTGCATTGGGTGACTCATAGGCACTTGTAACGAAGTCTTCACTGTCGACAAGCGGTTTAGACCTGAAGTATGTGACATGGTGTTCACTGTGTGTGGCAAGGCACGACCATTAACTGCAGGTGCTGGCTGGTTATGTCCTTGGTGAGGGCGGGCGTTAGGGTTCATCATTTTGTTGTGGGGCTGTTGACTGCCATACGTTGGCATCACCGAGTTAGGGGCCATCAGCACACCCTGGCCCAGCGCCCTGCCACCAGCCTGGGAAACACCAGTGTCTACTGGTGCCAAGATATCATTGTGCGGTGGAGAATCAGAAGTCAGCAACTCCTTCAAAAGTCCTGCAGGACAGTTATATTGGCTCATCGATCCATAGCTTGATTTACTGTCTTGAAGAGCCTGCATAGGGATCTGGGGCAAAGAGTTCATGCTAGCTTGAGCATACGTAAATTTCCTGTAGTCTGGATTTGGTGAACCTATACTTGTGGTCGAGGATGCAAACGAGTAACCTGGTGTTTGCTGCATCAGGGTAGCAGATGAAGACTGGGTTGACACAGTCATTGATGTATTAGGTGACAAAAGATTAAGGTTATCCAACAGATTTTCCATGTTCTCGGAATTACTCATCTCTGAAAGGCTGGGTAGAGTAGAAGTCATTTTGGTGGCTGATGATGGGTATACCATGGAGTGCACATCCCCCTCTCCAAGATCATCTTGCTCTGGCAAAATTGGAGAAAGTCTTCCACTAATGGTACTAGCATTCGAGCTAGTTCTAGGCCGGAATGTACTCCAGTTATCAAAGTCATCATTACTGTGAGAGCTGGGGCTCGCAGGCCACTTGGAGAACTGCGACCCAGGGCTGTCACCATTTCCCTCTTGCCCAGACTGAAGGGATGCTTTTTTCTTGGCAGCTCTACCTCTGCTTTTGGCAAATTTGCTGTTGTTATCCATGGATGCTGCTCGTCGCCTAGGAGATTTGCCACTCTTT